ATTTTTAAAAAAATAAAGAATATATTTGACATGATAATATACATGAAATATTAATATTATAATAGAAAAAATAAACAATACATCAACATATTTTTGTATTTATTTATAAAGATTCATATGTTCATTTAAACACAACCTAGCTAACTAAAAAAAATTAAATATTTATTTAGGTTTGCAATATATTTTTTTAAGTTTAAATCTCACTAAATTATTATATAACGCATTTAGTAAAAAATAATAATAATTTAAAACGCAGGTTATATTTTTATATGGATAATAATTAATACACACTTTGATTTAATACATTTATTAATATTTATTGGTTCAGTTATTAAATTTTACAGATGAAAATTTTCTTACTTTAATTTAAATTTAAAAATAATAATTTCTTAATAAGTGTGTTATAAAATGTATTGAATTAAAATATACACCAATCATTATTCTTTTTATATATTAAAAAATATAGATATTTTGTTGACAAAAAGATAAGTACATTGATAAATATATTTTTTAAAAGATAAATACATTTTTACAAATCATTTTGTAAGTGGCATATATTTTGTTTTTTGGTTTTATTTAAAAGAATTCAGATAAAAAAAAAAAACAAAAGAAAAAAGAAAGACCAGTAATATTTCGACCTATTGGTCAATATGCCCAAATTTTACCGAAACACATAGCATTTGACCAAAATGAAATCCAAACTTATTTATACCCGTTCGAATTAAGCCTAAAACAGGTATGTACCAGCCGATACAAAATAAAATTGATAACCTTGGTTTTTGCCTTTCCTTAGTTTACACGAGAGTTTGTTATTTTGGATATGTTCTGTGTGGGTTTTATCATAATTTTATATCTTTTAATTAAACATTCAAAGTAATAAAAGTGGTTAGTGTGCGCTATCTTACCTTAAAATGCTTTTAGTAATACATTATCTCAATAACTATCTTTTTATCTTTTGGTGTTGATGGATCATATCAGCTTATAGTTTTACTATCAGGATCGAGAATTTAGTTATAATATTCATGTAATCATTAAATTACTATATTATTATATGTTTAATAAAGCATTTTATACTTTTAAAATTAAATTTTGTAGTGATTCTAATTTATTATATTATATGAACGGACTCATAACTCTTATAATTTTTTATTATTAATGATCGCTTTATTTTTACTCAAAAAATATAAATACCAACTGGAATTAAATGCTTTAAATCTTATATCACCACAACCATTATTAACAATAAGATTTTGATTATATACTTTATGATAAAAGGTACCCTTAATTTTTCGAATTATAATTTGAATCTCTTTTTTTTTTTAATTATTAACTACAGGAATAATAGCTATATATCTTGTGATAAAAGGTATTCTTAATTTTTTTAAATTGAGATTCGAACCTCTTCTCTTTAAAAGTTGTACTCCATTAAAAAAAATTACCCTTTAAAATTTCTATCCCTCTAGGTGCATCAACGTTGAACGAAACGGTCTTTTACCGATTAATAATTTTTTTTTAAAATATTAATATTTGAGTTAAAGCAATAAAAATTTTAACTCTCATTAACCGCTTAAATATCTATATGTAATTTATCAAGTATTAATGCTTCACCCTTCCCATATGCTGCTCATTCCTTTCCCTTTCCACTTTAATTGCTCTTGTTCAAAAAAAAAAAAATTATATGAACACTAAACTGACAAAAACTGCATGGGATGGAGAGTGTCTGTCGTATCACCATCAGGTATTTTCGTCGTCAAGAGGGCAAGGTAATCCCCATTCCGTAAGGTTTCTTCACGAGTGCCCACTACCCCTATGATCAACCCCTATACCCCATTTTTTAATCATTTATTCTGATCCCCAATCCCTACACAACTCGCCTTCAATCCACGCACCATATCATTCGCTTTTTCCCCGGCCGGTGAACCAAACGCGGTGCTATGTACGTGGCGGAGACCCCAAACAGCCTAATAAACATGATAAGCTCCCGGGCCGTGGCGACCTTCTCAGTTTCTCCTCTTTCTTTCACTTTTGTAGAGTGCCGTACATCTGATGGAAGAGCTGTATGGCGTCCAGTACTCCTACTCCGAGCAGAACCAGCCGGAGAACATTGTGGCTTCACCCTCATATCCCACTTTCCCGACTCCAGCACCGGGGTTTCCGGAGTCTACTGAGGGGGCATCCAGTGCAACAACAATTAGGGATAGGATTGCTGCTCACCCTCTTTACCCTAAACTCCTCCAAGCCTATATTGATTGTCAAAAGGTAAAATTGAATGGATTTGTTTGGTCACCAAGAAAATAAAGACGAAAGAGAAAATGGAGTGATCAGAGCCAGTCTTTGTTTCCTTCCACTTTTATTCACTACTTTTGTTGTTGTATGGCGGTTGCATGTGCTTTGATCAAGTTCTGATGTGTTTGTTTCCAGGTGGGGGCTCCGCCAGAGGTAGCTAAGATGCTGGATGAAATCAGGGGAGATAGCGATGTTTGTAAAAGAACCGCTGCCGTTGTTCCTCCTAGCTTCAGTGTCGATCCTGAGCTCGATCACTTCATGGTCCGACCCAAAACCCTAACAGAAACTTAATGTCCATTTTTGTCTTCAATGGCTTCCTTAATTTTTTTCCTTTCCCTTAATATGATTTTTTTTTTTTTGAAGGAAACTTACTGTGATATATTGCGGAAGTTCAAATCGGATCTATCCAGGCCATTTGATGAAGCTACGGTGTTTCTGGACGATATGAGGACGCAGCTGAGCCGCCTCTGTGACGGCGGCGCTTCGGGAACCTGCCCCTCCGGTATCACTTTCTTTCTATAGAAACTAGTAGTATTCTATCAGTTCTTCTGGTTTTGGATTTATTTTTAGGCAGTTTGTTGGTTTCTGTGCTCATCCCCCGATCTTGATAAAGTGCTTTAATTAATATGCTTTATACAAAGGTGAAAACCCTAGGCGCATGTTAGCAAAACCCTAGGCGTATTTTAGCATTGCAAACTGAGAGTATTTTGCTTTGAAACAAAAGCTGCAAATTTAGAACATTTTACTTTGGATGAATCCTTCAGAATGTTCTCCTTTTTTATTTGTTTATATATACTACTAAAATTTTATCGCCCAATTAATCTTCTCTACATGCTTGTTTTAATATAATAAATAATGAACTTATTATATTGTCAACGTGACTTTGGTCCAGTAGTTAAGGATATGTTAAGGTCTTTAAGTCTCAGATATAATAAACTTAGTCAAATATTCCATAGATCAGGCTTTTTATATATGATTAATTGGAACAGCAAGTTACTATCGATTCTATGAGCATGATGATTTCTACTTTTCACGGAGGGATGGGCATTTAGCGGAATGACCAGTTGGGTCAATATCAGTAAAATATTAGATATTTATTTACTGTGTATTGCTTAAGCCTTTGCATTGATATATCCCAAAAAAAAAAAAAAGGGAGCTTAAACACTCTCTTTTTCTCCTCCTTTGCTTGATTGAAAACCCAATTTCCATTCTGCGATTGATTAATTACCCTATCGATTTGTATGGAGAGAAGTTGCTATTAACGTAATTAATTAGAAATTATTCTTGTTTGAATTTGATGCTTTCAACTAATTAGATTAGAAGCCTTCATATAAACGTGCTAGGAGTCCAATTCTATTCCTCTCGTCTAAATAGTGTTTTAAGTTAAAGTATTCCTAGCTCCGTCCGAGATTGAACCTTAATTAATAGTTACAAATTAAAGTGGACCAAAACCATCTTTCTATGTCTCTTTAATTATTTGGCTTGCCTTAATGTGCTGCGTGTATTTTGATGGACGGGAAGACATACTTTTCGTTTGTAATGTGAATGCAAATGCTTTCGTTACTTGATTCATTTTTATACAATTAATAAGTTGCTCCCATGTATTCACTTTAATTCATATCTCTCATGCCGTTGTCCTATAATGATGTATTGGTTTGGTAAATGGTTGTGCATGAGCTGCAGTGCTTTGTCATGAGTGTGAACAAATAAAAAACTGTCTTGGGAAGGTTTTAGGTACTTACATACTTGATTTATCATGTTATTCTACTCTGAAGTGTTTGCTTTGCACATAAAAAAGAACTCATTGGGAAGAGTTGTTAGCAGCTTCTTACTTATAAAAATAAGGCATTAACCGAAAGCAAGCCACTTTTCTCTGTAATCATCCACATTCAAAGTGGATGTACTTAATCGAATCTTAGTTACCACAAACATGAGATATCGATATGGGGTTCTGATCTCATATCTTCACTTCTCTTTTATTAGCTCTATCTTCTGTGTTGATGTACTGTTTCAGTCTTTTTTTTAAGGCTGCGAATGTGATAAAAATAATTGATTAGGCTTTTGCGCTTGGTACAGATAGGCTTTGTACCAGCTAATGTTATTTTAGCAATACCTTTATGTGGTCAAGGTCCCATGATGTATTATCTCGGGCTATTTCTAGCTATTAACATCACATAAAGAGAAAGATGCTTTTATAGTTGCGTGGCTTGGGGTTATGAAATTTTTTCAGAAGTGGTGATCAATATTGAATTGTATGGTACTATTATTATTAATATATTTTAGGTCGACCAGGCATCCATGAACAAAGAATGTTCCAGGCTCCAAAAGTGTATATAGGGCTGTTGATTAATCAAGAGGTTGACTTACTTCTCTAATTATGTGGAATTATTATGAAG